AGAGCATTAATTATGTATATGAATGAGTGAATGAATGAGGGAGCAGGGACTCAGGGTAGATCAAGGATTCTGCCATTCCCAGAAGGAGAACCCAGAAGACCACCGCACCCCATGCTCCAAGTCAGGATCCATACCTGACTGCAACTCACCAAGCATTCTGTTTTCTTGGGACTCCTCCCTCACCTCCTCACATCTGCACTGGGGCCAAGGGGGTGGGGGCAGTCCCCGTCTTTTAAGTTCAGGCACAAAATATAGCACTCTCTCAAAGCATTCCATGCACTGTGCCTCCTTCCTCACCCATCTCACCAGCCACAGCCATTGCTACTCTGGACACCTTTAGATATCCGGTGGTCACAGAACTGGCCCCAATTCTGGCACAATGGGGCCATTCCACAACTGGGGAGGCTCTCTGTAAGGCAGAGAGAGGGGCAGCCAGACCACTTCCATGAAGAACAAGAAGACTTCCCAGGCATTGGGGAGATGTGACTCCTGTGGCCATAGGGCATGGGTGAGGAAGGATATCCGAGCATTGATGGGGTTCTCAGGATGCCCAGGCACTGGGCATATAGATATCCTAGCGTTACAGCGTTGCCCAGGCAGTGCAAATCCAAAAATGGAGAGATCTAGAAGCTTGGCTTAGAGCCACAGGGAGTTGGACAGTCACGTCTGAAAGCCACAGGTGTGGACAAGAATGCCCCTAAGAGTCCAGCAGGCTCCAGAACCCAGCACCAACTTGAGCGGGATGGTATCACAGCATCCAAACCATCAGGGAGGGATGGTCGCTGCAGTGCTGAAGGTTGCAAGCCCAGGAAGGCTGTCTAGTTAGCAGTAAATAGGGAACCCTGAGTGTTCTGAGTGTTGAGGGGTTCAGAGGTCCTGCCAATTTTTTTCTGAGTCCATTTGAGACCTATCTGACTTTGTATGTGTGTGTGTGTGTGTGTGTGTGTGTGTGTGTGTGTGTGTGTGTGTGTGCTATGGTTATTATGAACTGCTGCTCAGACTCTCCTTCTAGAGTTTGCAGTCCATCACTTCCAGCCTGATGACTTGCTTTTAATCAAGACCTGGAAAGAAGTCAAGCTTCAATGAAGCTGGAAAGGACTTTACCAAATATTGTAATCAGCAGGATGGCATCTGAACTGTAAAAAAGGGAGAACTCATTCTCATGAGTGATTGCCAGCTCAAAAAGTGAACATATCTGGGATGGATAATCATACCAAAGGAATCAATAAAAATGAAACCAAATGGTATGAAAAGGGGGTGGTTGTTGGTGGTCAATTTTCGGAACATAGTATTCAGCCTTAATTGGATTCAGTTGTAGCCATTGTAATTGTAGCCCTTCCCTTTGCCTGCTCCAATTTGAAAATTAGGTAATACAGATTGGAACCCAAGTGGTTCCAGTCAGAGTGTAGGGCAGCGCTGTGCTGGGGATAAAAACAGATGAACTGCCAGCCCAGGAGCACCTGGTTCCAGCGGCATGCTCCAATGGCAGAAGGTGTTCACCTTGTCCATCCACTTTTGAGCACATGTTTGATTTCTTGTGGCACCTCAGTATTTCCGACAGCTACACCTTCCTCCTCCAGCTAAGGCCCTAGTTCTAGTTCATGGTGGTTAATGTACAAAGGCTCTCAAACCCTTTCATGAACAGATATGTGGTTTTCAGTCAGGTCCCTGTGAGGTCTTTATTCAAGCATACCAGCATCACCTGTACATTCATTTCTGGAATGAATGTAGACAAGACTGAAGTTATTACACCCAGGGAGACCCTCAAAACGCCCTCCTCCCCACTACATACACATATAAGACCAGTCATTGCGGAAAGACTTCTTTACTTGGAGACATGGAAGACAGCATGGCTGTCACTCTCTATCCAATTCATATTGATTACAAACCAGTATATTTTCACTTCTAAGTGCCTTGAAAAACTTCAGATAAAAAATATGTAAATGCTTCATCTACTGTCAAGATGAATTAAATGCTTTTGCAAGGAGAATTTGGCATGAGTCCTCATATGTGCCAGGCTGTTCAGAGAGCTGTTGGAGGGGACTCATCTATGCCCAGAGTCCATAGGACCACTGAGTGCTTTATCCTGGAATGTGTAGCATAGACACCCCGTTCAGTGGAGCATCTCTGTGGGTGACAAAAGCTGATCAATAAAAAAAATCCCAACCTTTTATTATAATTGAAGGTTTGATACAAATGTGCAATTTATCAAAAAAAAAGATCTCTTACTCTAGGCTTTTTGGTGGTTGGAGGTTGGACTGGACTATGGGGGTGGTAGTGAAAGTACAGTTCTGCGGTTTATCTGGGCAGGGGGAAGGAGAGATGGCTGCATCCCGGAGGGACACGTGGAGCACCTGGTTGAGAGTGGATGGCACTGGGAGCAGTAGGCAATGGGGAGGTACTCCTGGCCTGGACCAAGGCAGATCTTTGGACTGCAGGGATCCTGTGTGCAGAGGGCCTTCCCCAAGGCAAATTTGGAATACCTCCCCTGTATGCAAGAGAGAGAGAGGAAGTCACAGAGAGGCTATTAGAATTGGACCCAAATTGTTGTGGTTGCCTGACTCAAGGGTTCAGGTCGGGACCATCAGGACCAAAGGACAGGCCTTGATGAAGCTCCTGCTCTCTGCTGTTTGCTGCCTACAGCTTCTGCTGGTCCTCTCAGACTCCCTTCAGACTTTAGGCTTCTGTCTCATTTGGGGTTGAAAAATAGACTTCCTCAAAGGAGTTGCAGGCCATAACTTTGGAGTTTTGGCTCCAATATATTACCTGACAGACGGGGATTTGTGGCTATGATTAAGGAAAGGCTGTGCGAATGGGGAGAATGTGCTGAATGATCTGGGTGGATGTCATGTGATGCCAAGCATCCCCATATGAGGGAGATGGAGAGACTTGAGGCAGGAGTCGAAGGCCATGTGAGGATGCAGAAGCAAGCCAAGGAAAGGGCAAGGAATTGGATTATTGGATGTGGCCCTGGATACCCCTGGATACATGCTCAGCAAATCCATTTCAGTCTTCTGGATGCAGTGGCACTTGGTGGGTACAGAGAAAGAGAGGGTGTTAGTTCTGAGGTGGAATGTGCTGGTCAGTGCAGTGTTATGTTAGAGCTGGATTGAATATCGAATGACAGCCAAGCCAAGGATAACGGGATCTACCTACATGTTATTGTTCCCATCTGGATAGGACTCCAGCACCTAGGTGGGTCCTGGGGGGCTGGGATCACAGATTTGCCTTCATAAAGATGAATTTTCCATCTTGTCCACACAATGAGTAGGGATTTAAATGGTTCAAGGGAATATCTACAAGTGGACTGCACTCCTTGGACTTTTTTTCCTCCTTCTTAATGTGAGTTCCAACCGTTAAGCTGCCTTCCCATGTCTTCTGCTCTGAATTGTTATTAGGTCTTGGGGACTATTCCTTAACTCCCTATTTGTGAGTCCAGGTTCACTCATTCTCCCAGGATGAGCCTCAGTACTGATAGTGCCTGGCCAAGCAGCCATCCTCAAGCCAGGCCTGGATGGAGCACTCACAGGCTCTTTCAGTGTGGTACTCCCCCCCCCCTCTCTCTCTCTCACACACACACACACACACACTCACACTCATTATCTTTCCTTTTTTCTTTTAGATAAGAGCCTCGATCACATTGCAGGCCCCTTGTCCCTCCACCCCCTGACCAGTAATTTTTTCAGTTCAGGACTGAGCCTAGAGTAAGAGCCACAAGATTGGGTCTGGCCCTGACCCCAAAGGCGAAGGACTTCTTCCTGTCCTCATATCTCAGACCTGCTCCACAGTGCACACTACCAGCTTTGCCCCTCACCCCAAGTCAGCTGGTCGGAGAGCCCAGGACAAACCATGAGGACATGACAGGTCACAGTTCAGCCACCACTGGGAAGGCTGTTTCAAGGGCTCAATTCCCTTCCTTCCAACTCATGGGTGGCATCTGACCCCAACCTGGGCCCAAGCAGGGTCTTCCCAGACGGTTGCTGTTTTCTATCCTCTGTTGTCCTTACTCAGGAACAAGCCAGGGCAGGCCTCACATAGACTCAGCAGACTAACTATATTCCTGGGTCCAATTTGCAGAGAAGTGGAGCTTGGGGAGACCAGGCAGATCAGTTCCAGGCCAGACAGCAAGAGCTCTTGAGGGTCACTAAGTCTGAATTGGGCAGCCTTCCACTGGTTCAACAATCTTGTGGTCACAAGGCTGGTCCAATAGGCTGTCAGGCAATTCAAAACTGTGGAAGCCAGCCCCAGGTGCAAGTCCAGATTAACGACTCCCAGGCTTTGAGTCTCTCAGAACTTCGGCCCCCTCTGGGTAAGTTGAAGAAATACTAATGTCCCACTGTATAGTTACTGGGAGTATTAAAACAAGGACAAATGGAAAATCCTATACCAGAGAGTGGTTCGTAGAGGACTTGCTAATATTACCCATGAGTCTTAGGGCATTCCAAAAATGAAAATCTTAACTCTGTGGATCCCATGGTTATCAGGCAGCGACCCAGGAGGGGACCCATAACCTGGTAAACCAGCCAGTGTTGTCCAAGATAGACTGTTAACCACACCCAGCAACCCTCTTCATCTGGTGGCCAGCAATAGGACTACATCCTCTGGAGGCTCGGGAGCACCCTGTGCCATGTCTTGGGCATTCCTCCCTGACTTGTGTTTGGTCATGGCTCTGAACCACCATCCCAGCATGGACATGTCAAAGGTAAAATAGTGCCCATTGTGACTTTAGGGAGCTTTCCCATGTTCCACTCGCCTGCTTGCCGAGCTGAGAGCATGTCAACGACTCTTGGTAGCAGCTTGAGTGATCATCGTTACACACGATTATGTTTCCCTGAAAAGCAGATGAAGACATGAGGCAGTAATACAGCATGGAGTCTTCCTTCGGAAGATGTCAAGACCTCACATCTCCTGTATCGGGGGACATAGTGAGACAAGTTTATCCCCAGAGTCATGCTGAGACAAAGCTCAGTCTGCCTCCCGTGGGACAGGGCCTGGTATACTGCTAAGTCTGGGGTGGTCACTGAGAGGTCAAAGGATGTTTAGATCTGAAAACAAACAAACAAAAACAGGGACCCACGTGGAGCCCAGGCAGGCCCAGGTCAGACCCACTGATGCCCACAGAGCCTTGCACTTCGTCCAGAGATGCCAGGAGTCACACAGCACTGCATGCCACAGAGCTGCATTTTTTAAAACATCGCCCAACACCACTGGTTGCCCTCCCCGGACCCAACAGTCCATCAGAGAAAGCAGTCTCCTCCATCTTGGGACACCTTTATCACCTTCTTTAGTTGGCACAACTCCCAGTTTGGAACATAGGCTGGACAGGTATCCATAGGCCCCAACTCCTGGCAGCCGGCCCAGTGACTCCCCAATATAAAACAGCTTTCCAAGACAGGTGTGCAGCACTCAGAGTGAAACCCACAAGACCTCTGGAGAGAAAGGTCTCCAAATAGGAAGTAGAAAGGGAGCTAGTGAGTGAGATACAGTTTAGAGACTAAATTAGAGACCAGAAACTGTGAGATCTACAGGGGATATAATGAGATAAGACCAGGTGCCCACAAAACATGAGGGGGCCCCAGAGGAGATCCTTGGGATGCAGTCTTCCATTGGGGACCGACTGGTGCCATACCCCACTTCAAGTTGCCTTGCACCAAAACCCTCCCACCCTGGTAACCTTCAGCATCCTAAGGGTAGAGATACCAGCAAACACAGACAACTCCATCTATTGAATAAGAAGGGAAGCAGGAAATATACTGATCTCCAACCTAAACAATCCTTGTTTCTTCCTTCAAGATTTTCTTTTCTTTCTTTTCCCTCTCTATTCTCCCACTCTCACATCCCCAATATTTGTGAAACCAAGTACTTTGCATGAATTAGGATTCTGAGGACTGGGATGTCTGAATAATATATTACAGTTGTGTTGTATATTTTTTCTCTCTTATTTTTACATTTTTAATTTTTCTTAATATTTTTGAGTGTTTGTTTTATGTACTCTATTATCTTCCCACCTACTTGTCTACCCAAAATAACTTCCTCTCTCTTGTCCTGCTACTAACTATCTTCTTTAGATTCCTCTTTCAATATTCCTAAAACTAATAACCCTATACCCTCCTCCAACCCCTTCAATATCTCATCCTACACCTCACACCCTGTTCTTTTTCCACCAATAGAAACTGCAAACCCTTTTTGCAAATCTACAGTTTATATTGTAGATAACAATTGAACTTAACATTTCTGTGTATTGTGACAAAACTGTAAATGTCTTAATAGCAACAATTTGGTTCAAGGTTGTATATTGTTTGTATTGGGATTTGTTAACACTGTCCTTCCCCTCAAAGGAGAAGTACTGGAACCCTGCAGAGGGAGGCCTATAGGAAAAAAAGAGTAATGCCACAGATCCACAGTGCTAGAAGAGAAGTCACATGAACAACATGAAAAACAAGAGAAAAAAGTACCCCAAACAAATCAGGATACTATGTTATTAGAATCATGGCTAGTACAACAGAAGAAATTACAGATGAAGAGTTCAAGATATATATAATTGAAATGTTCTATGAATTAAAGGATGATATAAGAGAACAAATACAGGCAGCAAAAGATTATTTCAGTAAAGAGCTACAAAAGTGAATACAGGAGGCAAAAGATTACTTCAATAAGGAGGAAAAAAGTTCTAAATAAAACCAAAAATCCTTGAAATGAAAAAAACAATAAACCAAATTAAAATCTTAATAAAAAATATCACCAACAGATTAGAACACTTGGAAGACAGAACCTCAGACAATGAAAAAAAAAAATCTAATCTTGAAAAGAATGTAGATCACACAGTAAAGATAGTAAGAAACCATGAGCAGAACATTCAAGAAATATGGGATAAAATAAAAAGACCAAATGTAAGAGTTATTGGGATAGAGGAAGGCATAGAGTTCCAAACTAAAGGAATGAACAATCTACTCAATAAAGTAATATCAGAAAATTTTCCAAATATAAAGAATAAATTGAAAAACCAAATACAAGAGGATTATAGGATGCCAAATGTACAAAATCACAACAGATCCAAACCAGGTACATTAAGTGAAAATGCCTAGCTTACAGAATAAGGAGAGAATCTTAAAAGCCACGAGAGAAAGCAATCAGGTTCCATATAGGGGGAAACCTGCAGAAATCTGCATAATTTGCAACACAGATCATGAAAGCTAGAAGATTCTGGAACAACATATACCAAGCTCTGAAAGAAAATGGATGTCAATCAAGAATCTTATATCTATAAAAATTAAGCTTTAGATTTGATAATGAAATAAAAACCTTTCATGATAAACAAAAGTTAAAAGATTGACAACTAGAAAGCCTGCACTACAGAACATCCTTGGCAAAATATTCCAGGAAATAAAAACAATAATTAAAATCAGCTGAAGAAAGTATTGCACTAAAGGAAAAACTGATCAAATGAGAAACTAATTCACGTTAAATACCAAAAATATAAAAGAAAAATGCCTGGGAATACAAATCATGTTTCAATAATACCCCTGAGTCCTAAGGGCCTAAACTCACCAATCAAAAGACATAGACTGGCAGATTGAATTAGGAAAAAAGACCCATCAGTATGCTGTCTCCAAGAGACTCATCTCATAAGAAAAGACATCCACAGACTGAAGGTGAAAGAAAGGTTGGGAAAAAAACATACCACTCAAATGGACCGCAGAAACAAGCAGGGGTTTCTATCATCATATCAAATAAAGTAGATTTTAAGCCAAAGCTTATCAAAAGGGACAAAAAAGGACATTTCATACTGCTCAAGGGAATCATACATCAAAAACACATAACAATTTTGAATATATAGACCCAAAACAATGGAGCATCTATGTTCATTATACAAACTCTCCTCAAGTTCAAGAGTCAAATAGACCAAACCACAATCATTCTGGGTAACTTTAACACAGCTCTTTCAACCCTGGATAGATCTTCCAAACAAAACCTGAACAAAGAAACTATATAATTCGATAATACAATCAATAACTTAGGCTTAACTGAAATATATAAATATTTCATCCACCAAGTGAGTACACTTTCTTCTCAGCAGAACATGGATCCTTCCCTAAAACAGAGCATGTATTATTCCACAAAGGAACTCTTAGCAAATAGAAAAAAGTAGAGATACTACCATGCATTCTATCAGATCATAAAGAAATGAAGTTAGCAATCAATGATAAAATAAAAATAAAAGCTATTCCAACACCTGGAGACTAAATAATATGAACGATGTGTTTCAAAAGACATCCAAGAACAGATTCAGAAATTCTTAGAGGTATATAAGAACACAGATACAACATATCAAAATCTCTGGGACACTATGAATGTAGTACTAAGAAGAAAGTTCATTACATGGAGTTCATTCCTTAAAAGAAGAAAAAGTCAACAAATAAGTGACCTAACATTACATCTCAAAGCCCTAGAAAAAGAAGAACAAATCAACACCAAAAACAGTAAAAGAACATTAAATAATTAAAATCAGAGCTGAAATCAATGAAATCAAAACAAAAGAAACAACTGGAAAAATGGCAAAACAAAAAGGTGTGTCTTTGAAAAAAATAAAATTGATAATAATGATAATATTAATTGGCCTCCAGGTTTTGGAATAGGCATGCTAATGAGGGGAAGAAGAGAGAAAATTCAAATTACTAACATCAGTGATGAAAAAGGAAATATCACAATAGACATTACAGAAATACAAAAGATATAATTAGAAATTACTATGAAAATTTGTACTCCAATAAAATAGAAAATATTCAAGGCATCAACAAATTTCTAGAGTCATATGATTTGCCCAAACTGAACCAGGATGTTATACGCAAATTATACAGATCAATTTCAAGCAATGAAATAGAAGATACCATCAGAAGCCTACCAACCAAGAAAAGCCCAGGACTGGATGAATACATAGCTGATTTCTATAAGAACTTTAAAGAAGAACTAATACCAATACTCCTCAAATTATTTTATGAAATAGAAAATGAGGGGACACTTCCAAACTCATTCTATGAGGCCAATATCACCCTGATTCCAAAACCAGACAAAGACACATCAAAGAAAGAAAACTCCAGACCAATATCTCTAATGAACATAGATGGGAAAATTCTCAATAAAATTATGGCAATTGAGTACAAAAACATATCAAAAAGATAGTGCACCATGCTCAAGTGAAATTCATCCCAGGGATGCAAGGATGGTTCAACATACGGAGATCAAAGAATATAATCTATCACATCAATAGACTTAAAGATAAGAATCATCTCAATAGATGCAGCAAAAGCATTTGACAAAATACAGCACCCCTTCATGTTCAAAACACTAGAAAACTAGGGATAAAAGGAACACATCACAATATTGTAAAGGCTATCTATGCTAAGCCGCAGGCCAATATCATTCCAAATGGAGAAAATTTGAAAGCCTTTCATCTAAAAGCTGGAACAAGACAGGAATGTCCTCTTTCACCAATTCTTTTTAACACAGTTCTTAAAACACCAGCCAGATCAATTAGACAGATGAATGAAATTAAATGGATATAGATAGGAAAATAAGAAGTCAAATTAGCACTATTTGCTTATGATATGATACTATACCTAGAAGACCCAAAAATTCCTCCAGAAAACTTCTAGAACTAATAAATGAATTCAGCAAAGTAGTAGGATATGAAAATCAACACCTGTAAATCAAAGACATTTCTGTATATCAGTGAAAAATCCTCTGGAAGAGAAACGAGAAAAACTACCACATTTAAAATAGCCTCAAATAAAATAAAACAAAATAAAATAAAATACTTGGGAATCAATGAAAGAACTGAAAGACCTATACAGTGAAAACTTCAGAATACTAAAGAAAGAAATTAAATAAATTTTTTGAAGATGGGAAGATCTCCCTTGCTCTGGGATAGGCCGAATTAATATTGTCAAAATGACCATACTATCAAAAGCACTATACAGATTTAATGCAATTCCAATCAAAATCCTAATGACATTCTTTACTCAAATAGAAAAAGCAGTCATAAAACTCATCTAGAAAAATAAGATACCCAGAATAGCTTAATCAATCCTTAGCAAGAAGAGTAAAAGAGTTGGCATCACTATACCACATCTTAAACTATAGTACACAGCAATAGTAACAAAAATGGCATGGTATTGGCACCAAAATAGACTTGTAGACCAAAGGTAAAGAATAGAGAACACAGAGATAAAGTCACATAATTACAGTTATCTTCGATTAGTGAAAGATGCCATAAACATATATTGGAGAAAAGCTAGCCTTTTCAACAAATGGTGCTGGGAAAACTGGAAATCCATATGCAACAAAATGAAATTAAGTCCCTATCTCTCACCATGCACAATTTTCAACTCAAAGTGGATCAAGAACCTAGGAATTATACCAGAGATCCTCCACCTGATAGAAAAAAAGTAGGCCCAAATCTCCATCATGTTAGATTAGGCCTCAACTTCCTATAGCTCAAGAAATAAAATCGAGAAGCAATAAATGAGATAGATCCAAACTAAAAATCTTCTTTTCAGCAAAAGAAACAATCAGTGAGAGGGAACAAATTTTTCCTACATGCACATCAGATAGAGCACTAATCTCCAGGATATATAAAGAATTCAAAAATCATAACACCAAAAAACAAACAAACAAAAAATAACCCAATCAATAAATGGGCCAAGGAACTGAACAGATACTTCTCAGAAGATGATATACAATCAATCAACAAATGTTCAACTCTCTAGCAATTAGAGAAATACAAATCAAAACCACTTTAAGATTTCATCTCTCTGTCTAGTCAGAATGGCAGCTATTAAGAATACAAACAACAATAAGTGTTGTCGAGGATGTGGGGAAAAGGTACACTCATATATTGCTAGGGACTGCAAATTGGTGCAGCCAATATGGAAAGCAGTGTGGAAATTCCTTGGGAAACTGGGAATGGAATCACCATTTGACCCAGCTATCCCACTCCTCAGTTTATAATCAAAGGACTTAAAAACAGCATGTTACAGTGACTCAGCCACATCAATGTTCAGAGCATCACCATTCACAATAGCTAAATTTTGAAACCTAAAAACCCTTCAGTAGATGAATGGATAAAGAAAATGTGGTCTACATACACAATGGAATCTTACTCAGCATTAAAAAAGAATAAAATCATGGCATTTGCAGGTAAATGATAGAGTTGGAGAATATAAGCCAATCCCAAAACAACAAAGGCCGAATATTTTCTCTGATTTAAAGATGCTGATTCATAATGTGGGGTGAGGGCAGGGAAGGATTAGTTGAACCCTAAGTAGGGCAAAGGGGAGAGAGTAGGAGGGAAGGGACATGGAGGTAGAAAAGGCAGTGGAATGATATCATTACCCTAAGAACATGTATGAAAATACAAATGTGAGACTTTACTTTTTGTACAACCAGAGACTTGAAAATTTGTGCTGTTATCTGTGTAATATGAATTAAACTGCATTCTGCTGTCATATATAACAAATTATATATATGTATATTTATATATGAATATATATTTATATATATATTATTTATATTTTATAAATAATATAAAAATTTAAAAATTAATAATTTGGATATGAATCTAATAAAAGAAAGTGAAGTAAAATATTTAATCAGAGATAATATGCAATTTACATGTAACCACATAAAGCAAACAAACTTTGAAAAAATATGGATATCTTTACTTTCTAAATTCTCAGTAACGTTACACTATTTTTAAAACTTATTTTTGGTTTGTATTTATTCCTACAGAAAAATTTTAATGTTAAACTTAGAAAGTTCACTTATTTTATATTGCAGACAATGTTATATTGCAATTACCCCTGCAAACAGTAAAACAAACAAACAAATGAAAAAGGTTTTAAAAAATCACAGCATTTCTGATAGGAAGAGAAACCAGGAACTGAAGAGAAGAACTTCAATGGTGGGAGAGATGAGTGGAAGGCAAGCAGAAGTCCTCAACAGGGATCATGAGATAGACCTGGGATCCAGGACAGGAGCTCCAGGAAGAGCAGACAAGAAAACTTATGTTCTGCTTGAGAGAAGGTGCTTGAGACCAGAAGAAAGAGAAGAGGAAGGCAGAGTGGAGGCCAGAAGGAGCTCCTGTAACCAGGAGTAGGCAGCACATCACCTCAGACCCTGCAGTTCAGGATGCACTGAGCCCTGGGTGGCTGGGGGCCAGGCCTTGCAAACTGGAACAACCCACTGGTAGTGACTTCCTCCTTCTCTGGAGGGTGCGTTTTGGCTGTGCTGTGGCCCACAGTCATGGGAGAGGCAGAGATGGCTTCTCAGTTGCCTTAGAGAAAACAGAGGTACTAGAAGTTTCCAGGGGGAAGGAATGAATATGTCTTAGACAGAGGCAAACCGGAGAAGAGGAGGACAAAGCTCATAAAACCTAGGGCTATTTCTTTCTCAACGGCAGACTTGTTGGAGCCTCATCACCCTGTCCTGGGCCCAGGGCTGTGCCTAGCCAGCTTCCTCCTCCCCGAGATGGGTCTTGGAACTTCCAGACAAAGAAGGGTTCCTCGGGCTGAACTGCTCTGTTTGTGTTCCAGGACTCAACTCCTACACGTAGAGCTTGTGCCATTTTTAAGAGTCCTTTTTGACCCCTCCTCTCGGTGGTTCTCATCACCACATGTCAGTGGGCAGGAAGGCCACTGGGTCACTTTTTTCCTTCCTCTGCATTAAGTTGCCTAGTGCTCATG